TATGGTATGGAATAGCCCTTTGGTCAGTTTGGGTTAGCTGTGCTAGCTGTGCTGTACTCCCAGCTTGTTATGCACCTGGCCGAGCAGGAGAAGCTCAAAAAGTCCTTGAGTAGTCTGAGCACTACTTGGCAACAACTAAAAACATCAGTGTGTTATCAACATTCTTGTAGTACTAAATCCAAAACACAGCACTATGCTAGCTACTGTGAAGAAAATTAACTCTATCCCAGCTGAAACCAGGACAATGAATTAAAAACTGAACGGATTACGTGATACTTTGATATTGTATACATAATATGCCAAAAGGCCCTAGATGAGGCATGTTACATTGCAGGTATGGGTTTTTCTGTCATAATGATTCAACTGCAAAAAAAAACCCAGCAGTATGCTGCTTTTGCTCTGTAAGAAATACTAACTTGGCCTAGTACATTATAGGAGGAGGTGGGGTTAGGTTCCTTTTGCCAGCAGGATCTGTGTGTACATGCTAACTATTTTACACAAAGAAAGCATTAAGAAAAGAATGTGTAGTTAGCAAAGGTGCAAGCTAGGAAGTGCCATGCTGAAGATAGAACCATTGTGAAAATCACCCTAATGCTTTTACTTCTTCCCCTTTTCAGAAGGCTGCAAATGCTACTGAGTTGTTTCCTTGAAAGTGAAAGAAAAATCTGGTTTTATTTTGTCTTTGTTTACATAGCTTTTTGCTTTAACTATTGGTAGTTCTTCTGAATTCTTTACTGAAGGCAATGGTGGGTGTTTGTGGCCTTGTGCTGGGTGAGTGATTTGGAGGTGTTGCAGCCTGCGTGTCCACTCTGTCCTAGCAGAAGGCTTGCTTATCCCCTCATTATGGGTGAGCACCAGTGCAGCTCTGAGCGCTGCAACTGATGGGATGTGCTGGGCGTAGCTCTCAAAGGAGTCGCTGCTGCCAGCGTGGCTACTGAAATGTGGCGCTTGGGCGGTTTCTGCCCTTTTGGCTGAAGAAAGCGCGGTTGGTGGAGGTGTGTGAAAAACTCAGTGTTTTGCCCTTGGTGGCGATCTTGCTGCATGGCATCCATCGGTCGTCCCCCGTGACTGTTCTTTTTCTCTGCTTTGTTTGCCCCCGAACAGATGATGGTGTGGGTGCCTTGCTCTTCCTCTCACAGGCCCTTGTAATAAGAAGCAGCAAAGCATGTTCTTGTTTGTCATTTGCTGCAGGTGGAAGAGGGACAGAAGTGGCAATAAAATTGCTCATCCAGTTACTGGCAAAAACATCTTACAGTTCGTAGCTATCAAGAGGAGAGACTGTGGGGAGTGGGCCATTCCAGGGGTAAGAGCAAAGCTCCAGAGACAGTAGACATTTCCCCGCTGGTAAGGCTACGAGTTGATAACTGGTGTGCCAGTAATAAGAGTGCTTTTTGATGAATGACCTGATGTTACAGAGGTGAGGAGAAATGCTCCTTAATCTAGCTTTGACCAAGCATCCACTGGCATGCCTTCTGCTGTTTCTGCATTGCAGGGAAGTATTTGTATTTAATTCTGACCATGTCTTTTGCTTAATGCAGGCACAATTCAATCAATTGCAGGTTTTGAAGGATGTGTGTACTTGCTCTTTATAACAAAGTGTAAAGTTCCTCCTGTGTCCAGAGTATGATGCAGGTGGATGTAATAAACTAAAAGCCAGTCGAAGAGGAGTAAAACCAAATGGAATCTGAGGGATAGTCACCTTTTTTTCCTTTTCCCCCCTTCAAGGGGATGGTGGACCCAGGGGAGAAGATTAGCGCTACCCTGAAGCGAGAATTTGAGGAGGAGGCCTTGAACGCCTTGCAGAAATCACCTGAGGAGAAAGCAGAATTGGAGAAGCGACTCCACAAGCTGTTCAGCCAGGAACACTTTGTGGTGAGCTCTGTCTCTTGTGATAGCCTCTTGAGCTCACAGCTGTAAGGAACTTGAAAAAGTGTAACTGAAATAAAAATCAACTGTGATGCTCAGGTTGTCATGGAGTAGGAAATGGAAGGGAGTGTTGAAAACTCTAAGGACAAATGTACCGGAGGGAAAGAAAAAAAATCTTCTTATTGATTCCACCTTGTCTGTTGTGACACTGAGCTTGTCTTGGTTTGTTTGGGGCCTTAGGTGTACAGAGGATATGTGGATGACCCTCGTAACACTGATAATGCCTGGATGGAGACGGAAGCTGTGAACTATCATGATGAAACTGGTGGGTATTTCCGCATGTGCTCTTAGTTGCCTTTTACTCTATATGTTGGTTTGAAATTGGGATGTATGTTGGGCTGATATTGGCAATGAAATTGGGGGAGGCTGCAAGTCAGGTGTAAAATATTGGACTAAAACCAGTGGGTGTGAGGGTCTCTTGTCTCCTAAGATGTTCAGCCATGACAGTTAGTTGTCGTTCCCCTTTGGTTTCTGTTAGGCTTGAAATAAAGAATTTATGGACTTTGCCTGAAAATTATTTATTCATTTGTTAGCTAGTTCTAAGCTATGGACCACGTACCTTTGTATGTAATTGTTGGACCCTATTTTACTTCTATAAATCAGCAGGAATGGACATAACATTGCTAGTTCTTAAATTGATCTGTTATCTTGGATTCTCATCTTTTACCTTTTAAGATAAATCAATCTAGTTAAGTGTGTCTGACTTACTCAAGTTGGAGACTTCATATAATGACATTTCCACTGTGTTTTGGGTGGTAGATACCAGTGGTGAAGTTTCACATGACACTGTTCCTTGATTCATCAGCCCCCAGAAACAGTGAAGATACTGTTCCTTTGGTCTCTGTTTCTAATACAGATTTTGTAATACTTTTAAAAGCATTTTTTTGGTTGTTGTCTGTGAAGTTCTGGGACTCTTTGGAAACTGAGTAAGAATGTTGGAGAGCAATTCAGAAGCTTTTCTGCATCCTTCCTTAAGTACTATTTTTGACATTAGGGCCATTAGTAAAATTTCAATTATTCTGGTTTTCCATAAGCATATATAAGTTTCAGAATTCAGTTTGTCCCGTAGAATAAGTACCTGAAAAAGGAAGCAGTCAAATGTTAGCCAAGCAAAAATCAAGGTAGAGGGATTGTCTAAACTTGCAGTAGTGGGTACATGTTGTCATAATGGTTTCTAGTAACTTGTCATGCTGCTGATGGTTCCCTAGGAGTGGTGACAAGGAGTTAACACCACCTCTGCCACTCAGATTTGTCACTCACTATTTTAATAGTGCAAGTATGAAAAAGATTTCTGGCACAGAATCAGTGAGCAACTTAATTGGTTTCTCTCTGAGAAGCAGTTCAAGGTTACTGTCTAGGAAGAAGCCACGTGGAAGGGCAGAACTGACCAGATGTGGGAAAAAATGCAGGAAAGATGCAATAGCATGTCCTGACTCTTGTTTTGTGAACAGGTGAGACAATGGATAATTTGCCTCTGGAAGCAGGTGATGATGCTGGAATGGTGAAGTGGGTTGACATCAGTGAGAAGCTCAAGTTGTATGCAAGTCATAGCTACTTCATTAAGCTTGTGACTGAGAAATGGGGAGCCCACTGGAGCGAGGATCCTGGTCCTGAGTGCTGTGGGTGATGTAAACAAGGAACCAATGGACACCAAGGGGAGAATGTTTTTTCCAGCTTTGAAACAGATGACCTTGTCCTTTTCAGTGGAAGTTCGGTGAAAATTCCATGAAATTCAGCCAGCAAAAACACTTGGCAATGGTAAATAGAGGCTTTTTCAGAGACTTCGGGTTGCTGCTTTTGATTTTACAGCTAGCGTGAAATGAGATGAATGTGGAGCTGTTTTGCTTTCTTGTCTTCATTATTTGCAGCTGTTTCATACTATCTGCAGATTTGCATGACAACACTGGGATTCTGAGTGGCTGTAGTTCAGAGGCTGTTCACTTTAGCTCTCTATTTTTGCACTGATTGCTTGTCAGGAAGTATGCATCCTTAAGGGATGTGAGCCTTGTAGAATGGTAACTTGAATAATAGCTTAATTTAAGTGCTACATAATAAAGTGAAGTTTTTCTGAGTCATTTTAACATGTCTTTTCAGTGATTTTTATTTTGAGAGATTAGTTTTCACATTTAATTGCTTTCTAGTCTACAGTATGGATGGTATTCACATCTGAATGTCTGACAGTGCCTCTGTCTGAAAAGATAACTGTTGGAGGACGTAATTTGATTACTGATTTTGGGAGCTGGATTTCTAGGTTCCTTTCTTCTCACTGCTTATATTAATATATTATACAGCTGTTGGGGAGACTGTGCCATAAACAGGGTCATTGGAAGGAGCAGCATTAAAGTATAATCCTGTAAATTGTGGTAGCTTTTTACACTGCCCCAGCAGTGTAGTTGGGATTTGAAAGCATGACCACAAGAGCAGACCCTTCTTAAGTTCATGGGAGGTGAATGTGCAGCTCATCGTGGCTGAGAACAAGGGTGATTATACTGTGGCATGTCAAAATAGCATGATTTTTTTCTTGAATGCTACTGTTTACATATTAAGTTCTTAACATAATGTACAGTGCTAAAGATGAAAACAGGAAAAAAAAATTTCAATTATGAAAGTATCATACTCAGTGAGACAGAAAAACTGCACTGTTTCCGTAGCCAGTGTGTTATTCCTGGAAAGCTTTCTGGTTAGACAATTTCCAGTTGGAGTGTGTGATCTTGGATGGTATGCTGTACAAAATGCCATTACTTTATGCGCATCCCCTTACTAATTGGGTCTTGATGCTTACTCGCGTCCTAAAATGTATTGCATAATTACAATATTGAAAGTTTATAAGCAAGCAAATGTAGTGGCATTTCTTTATTGGCAAATCTTCTGGAAAATGGTCAGCTTCATGTGGGTGATGTTAGCTTGTACATTAATGCAAGTTAGATGTGTTGGAAAGTGTTATTTTTTAGCCCTATGTGTTGTGTCTCTAACATATGCTAAACTACTTTTTTTTTAAATATCTAAGAGATCATCTATTCCCAAGGATTGGGATACCCAGACAAATACTCAAGGAACAGCACCAGAATTTTGAGAAAGTTTGTAACCTCTTTTCAAGCTGAAGAAATGGGGGGGAGTATTATTAAAAAAAATTACTCCATAGAATGCATGTCTGCTAATTAGAAAGCAAAGTGGATTACTGTCCTCAACCTTCAAAGATAAATTGCATAAATCCCTTCTATGGTAGTTTGTCATTCAGAAGCCGCTCTCTCCATATCCCTGATGGGGTGCTTCCTGGCTGGCTAGAGCTTCCTGCACTCTTACGCCCCATTGTACTACTGGGCAGTTCAGTTACCTCAGACCTGAGCTTGATAAGCCTGCAGAGCAGGCTTCCAGACTGAAGGTTCAGACATGTAATTACAATCATTATTCAACATATGTGGTTGCTGTGAAAAGAAAGTCATCTTGTGTCAGTGTTTTCCTGTTCAGTACCAAAATCCTCAGTTTAATATTAATATTAAAACTAGTGGGATTCTGTTAATTTACAAAGAAAAGACTAACGTCCTCCATACTGTCCAAACCAGAGCTTTCACTACTGCTATCCTGTAGAAAAAAGAATGAATTTTCTTTTAGAGTAGAGTATAATTTGTCCTGCTTGTATTTATTTAAAAAAATAAAAAAATGATCAAATATTTCACTTTGGTTTTAATTTTTTTCTTCTGTTAGAAAGCAAAGATAGTTCTGCAAAGCAAACTTGTTAATCTTCAATGTCTGTAATACCGTCAGCTGAAATAGCTAATGGAGAAAATATGGGCCCTGTTAGGCTCGGTATGAGCTTGTTACTAGTGTTTATGATCTATTTTTTTCTTTAAAGTTTAAGGAGGGCTCAATAATAAGTTGAGAATCTAGAATGCTAATAACATAAAGAAGTTCAGGCCTGTACCAAACGCGAGTATTTTTAAGGTTGCTGTGTTAGTTTAAAATCATGTGATTTCCAGTTTAAAATATTAACATTTCCTACATTGGATGCCTGTTTGGTTTTTTTCAGTACTCATTGCGTTTGCAACAGCAAGAACCATGCTCAGAACACAAGAAAGCAACAGGAATTGCATATTGAGAGAGAGTCCTGTGAAGCAGATTGAAAGTAGAGTTATAGTGTCATGGTTTTGGCAAACGGAAAGGCCTGGAGGGAGTATGGCTCTCCTCTGTGTAGAGAGAAAGGAAAATCAGCCTGCTCAAGCTGTTCCTAAGTTGAGTATGGCTTGTGGTGTGACCTTAACTGTCATCTCTTTATTTTAGTTGCTCATGTACATGGTCAGGATAAGTCATTACAGAATAAAGCTTGCTATGCTTCTGCTTCCTGCTGCCTTGTCTGTGCTTTGAGATCTTGTCAGCATTTTACTTCTCATAATTTTTGTCTTTGATTTTTACCTCTCCCTTTTGCAACTTCTTGGTTTAAGCAACAGGCATAGCAGCAGAGCATTGGTATTTCTCTGAGTAGTTCTTGTCACGTGCTCTTTTTTTCAGACTCACAGAATGGTTGAAGTTGGCAGGGACCTCTGGAGACTGTTTAGTCCATTCCCCAGATGTGCTCAAACAGGGTCAGCTAGAGCAAGTTGTCCAGGACTGTCCAGTCAGGTTTTGAGCATCTCCTAGGATGGAGAATCCCCAGTCTCTCTGGGCAACCTGTGCCAGTGCTTGACCACTCTCACTGTGGAAAAAAGGTTTTTTTCTTCCCCTTCACAGTCATGCAGTCTACCCCAAATAATTTTTGTTTTGAAATTTAGTCCACTAGGTAACATTAAAGCATCTGTATTACCTTTGGATTGCATGTGGAACAGCTGGTCAGTGGATCAGACACAGCTGGCTCCAGTGATAGTGTTGTGTGAATGGCTGGTGTCTGTGTTTACAGTTTTGAGTGCTATGGCTTACATCAGAAAACCGCAAGATGTCATGAATCATACCTTTTGGATGTTTGATTTACTTCTCAGCTGATAAAGAAGCCAGGGTTTTTTTATGACCCCTACTGATCCTCAGAGGACTGATGGGCTTGGCAGTGGAAGTGCGTGTTATAAAAGGAATATTTGTTGTGTATTTTTTCAATATAGATATTATAACTGTAGGGTTCTGCACTTTAGTGATGCTGGAAGACTTACTGCAAACACATCTGGTATCGGTACAGCACAGATAAGGACATTGATCTCCTTTGAAAAGTAGATTCAGATGGCCAAGTCAGTAAAAAGAGGTAAGCCAGCCTGCCTTCAGAAGCTAGACCCTTCTGGTTGGTTCATGTTGGATCAGATCCTTGCACCTCTTTGCACAGAGGGAACCCAGTTAACCGAGCAATTTCACTAAATTTTGGATGAAAGGTTTTGAGTTAACTGCTGTTTGATGCTAGTTGGTGGAAACTGGACAGAGATGGTATTGCTCGTTTGTGGTATTTATGGCCTTCTGTCTGTTCTTAAGCCTGAATTAACAAAATATAGCAAACTTTTTTCTGTTTTTAAGGCTATTTGTGTTGTCTTGAAAGCTCTACTTGCAGTGACTCAAAGAAGCCACATTTAACGGAGGAGGAGCTCATGCTTGCCTCGAGACCTGAATGTCCTGCCTCATAGCAGATGAGACCTAAATAGATGAGAGCAGGCCATTTCTGTTAAATTCATTGTCGCAAGGATTAGTGCATGTAGCTGATGAGGATGCTTGCACTGACACATACAGTTCTAGATCCTGAGGACAGACTTGATCTACAGAGGACTTAGCAGTGGCTGTCCTGGATCAGAGGGAAGGCTTGTCTGGTTGGGTGTTGTGTCTGTAGCAATGGGTGCTTTGGCTTAGAATACAAGGGGAGAGGAAGTGCAGGTTGATGTTTCTCCTGACATACCCCAAGTGTTGTCAGTCTTCCATTAGGGTTAGAAGTTATGGTTGCATCCTGGACTTTGGTATTCTTTAATGGACCTGTCTAAAACCATCTATCCCCATCTTCTTCTCACTTAACACTAACCTGCTGTTTTAGCTGGAATAGAGGGAGAGTCAGGTAATTTTAGTTCCATTCATGTTATAACCAGCTGCACCTAGTGAATAAGATTGTGCCATGGTTTAAGTGTGAGCAATGAGTGTGTTTGTGAGTATTCTTTCTATATAGGCATGTGAATATGCGTGTTGTGTCTCAAAGGGTGCCTGAGTCTTGGTATGAGAGTGATTTCATTGTTGATTTTCCCTTGTAGAGAGGGGAAAATGCTTATGACTAAACAGATGTTTAATTTAGGTTTGTTAAAACTAAACGGAAACAATCGAGTCTACAGAAGGTCAGTAAAATTATCACTAACTTTCTGTATTTCTTCATTTTGTAAAGTATATAAGAAAGATTAAAGTATAAGTTAAGCTAGAATAGTAACAATGTAGTTAAAATACTGATGAGGAAACTAGCTTTCATTTATCATCCTTACTCTTAACGTTCTTATAATTTGTAGATTAAATATTGGTGGTGCTTGCCCCTTTGCAGACTACAAGAGCTCAGGTGAAAATTCTTCTTGTACTGTGACTGTAGCATCTATCTATACATACATTAGCAAATGCTCCTTTTATGTGTCTTGCAGTGGAAAAGCAGAAATGGCAGCATCACTGAGATTTTCAAAATAGGTGGGATGCTGATCTGCTCCTTAATACATTAGGTGCTTCATATATCCATGGCTGTAATCATCTTGGTAATGGTCATCGTTTGCCCTGCAGAACATGGACTGTTTAAAGGAAAATCTTCCCTGTTTGCTCTGATAAATTCAACTTCACTGTATCCTGGTTTTTATGCCTAAATTGTGCCTGTCTTCAGGCATGCAAAAGTTGGGAGATGGTGAAAGATATAGTTAACATTTCTCTCTCTAGAAAAATTATAGCAGTAGTTGGAGCTTCTGTGGGAGGAAGAATGTGCCTGCTAAGGAGAATAACGAGATGTTGGAGCTGTGGTATGCTCTATTTGTGATGGTGGACCTGTTGCTAATCAGTCTTTTGACATGCATCCATAATCACCATGCTCGTACAATTAGCTCATTACAGTTTGTCAGTAGGAATTCTGCTGTGTGGCATTGGTACTATTACTGTTGTGTTTCAAGAGGCGGGGGAAGAAGTATCTCAAAGGCACTGATTTTTTTTTTTTTTAATGCATGTTAGGAAATATGGTTTAAGGACTGGTATATATGATCTACCGTCTCCAGTTTCTTCTTCTCCCTTAAATCTAAAAATGAGATTTCCATTGAACTGTTGCATTGATACCTTTTCTTTGACGAAGTTCTGACAAAACCCATATATCTAGGTAGCCTTTTATTTTATTTGGGGCTTCTATGCAGAATGTTAAACTGACAATACAGTAAGTAAAGGAAATAAGTCCTATTTCAAGGTAATTTTCTTCAGTGTATGGTAAAATCCACATCCGGTAATTCTACTGAAGAGTTTCCTGAATAGCTCAGTCATCAGGTTAGTACTATTTATTGTCTTGGGAGATCATGGATACATGTGGGGGAAAACACTGGGTTTTTAGCTATGAACCACTTGGAGTAGTTTTTCTGCTGTTGATGAATGTAGAACTTTTCTGCACTTGTGTTATTTGATAAGAATGCAGTGAACCTTATGCCACCATTGTCTTGAAAACCATGAAGCTGTTAAATACAGAAATAAATGGGATTCACATATTTCACTGGTTTTAGAGCAGTACTGGGCTTCTGTTCAGCCAGACTCAGAACAGGAGACTTTCATTTATGTCTTCTGCAACAAAGAAGGAAATGTTATTAACATTTGATGCCAAAGAGACATTCTTATGCTGTATCGCTATCAAGAAAGTAATACACTAAAGTTTCAGAGCGCTCATGTAGGGGAACACTATACCTAACGAAAAATAAGTATGGATGCTACTATCATATTCAGGAGCCGTTCATTTAGACCCTTCTTGATAGGTGCTTTCTTGTTTCTAGTGTTGGGTCTCCTTGATCTGTTTGTGACCCAAGAATCCCTTCCACCCCCCCTCTTCCTAGGTGACTGACCCTAAACCCCTCTTTGGATGAACAGTCTTTGGTAGCAGTACATGTGTGTTATCATAACTCATTGCAGCTTACTTCCACACGTGGTTTGAGACTGGTAAATTGTCATCAGAAGAGCTGGAAAAGTTCTGGGAAGAATGAAGGCTCTGCATGTCTGAACTCTGACCAGAATCAGCCCCCACTTAAAATTAGGGAGTGGCTAGTGGGATTTTGAACGCATTTCTTCAGTCCACATGTTTAGCCAAGTGCCTTCTGTTCTAGGGTTAACCTGTGCTACTGCTACCCTTGCTTAATGACGGGCAGGATTGTTCAACTCTCACTCAGGGCTAAATCAGAAGAAAGTAGATTGCAAAAGAATGCCTTAGGTTGAATGTGGTCAGGTAAATCTCAGATTGCTATCATGATGGCTTCTGTTCAGCTGCTGCCTAATTCTAGAGATGTGACCAGCACAGTAATACCTAGCTTTTCACTTTCCTAGAGAAGTCTTGATGTGGATTGAGCTGAACCAAACATATGGCTAGCCCATTTAGGATTCAGGAACTGTCCCTGCCTCTGCCGAAGCCTCCTGATGCATGCATGTCTGGTGGGCACCCTCTGAGCATGTGTTGCACTTGACAGATTAGGTAGAATAGACAGTTTGGCCTGCAAGTACTACAGTGTGATGACAGCATTTGTGTTGTGTATAGTAATCAAGAGGTGAGCAGTTACTTGATGAGTGAGACATCTCGGTTGTTTTCCCTACTTGGCTTGAGATCTTTAAATGCATTTTCATGCAATGTGCTTTGACCACTGATTTAAAAGTACAAGCTTGCTTTGCCTTTCCTTTGGCATTGAAGGATAAAATAGTGTTTCTTGAGAGATGGGTGTGCAGGACATATAGGTTCAGATACCACACAGGAATTTGATATTTAGTACAAACTACCTTCCAAATTTTTTCCTCATGGAAGAGGTAACTTTTCCCTGTCTTTATAAAACAATTCAGAACCTTGCACCTTTTGCAGTCTTGTACTGTTCTATTTGCCTCCATGCATAGTAGCCATGAGCTTCTGGCTACAATTTCTTTCCTGTATGTTGTGGTCTGAGAATGTACCTAGTCTTGGTAGGAACATTGTATGTCTGCCTGCTCTTTTAGGTTTACCTTCCTTAATCCCAAAGCAGTGGCACCATTCCTTCAAAGCAATGAGTTTGTCTTGGTCTCCATCACACTCTTGGAAGAAACGGGTTATGCAGTGTTCCATGGGAACAAGGGAGGCTCTCAAAGGCGCAAGCTCAGAGTGTGTTAACAATCTGAAAGAAAGAGCAGGTATGTAGAGCTGTTATTTCATGAATAAATTGTCAGGGTCATCAAAGATGATCTAAACTGCTAGAAGATGACAATGGTGGCTCTGTCAGAGATGCCCTGGTGGATTCTGTTATGGTGCTTCTGTAGTGAATCTGTCCCAGGTCGTTACGATGATGTACAATAACTGATAAACTAAAATGTTTTAACTGCTATTTGTTTGCTAACATTTTTTTTTCTAGAACAATTATTACTGTGACTTGTTCACAACTCATCAATTGTAGAGTTTTTCTGTTAATCTTCAGGAGATCAAGCTTATAAAGGTGCTTAGCTGTGTTTTAAGACAGTAGGTATGAACAGCATGAGGTATTGAGGGCCTGCAGCCTTGAAACATGGGTCCCTCCCCTGAGTGTCATGACCAAAAGCCTGAAATCTGAGTCACATTCTCAGAAGCTGTGGGCTTCCTCTGAACTGTGACACTGGTGCTGTCTTATCAAACTGAGAGGCTTCTGTAGTATTAGTTGAAACCTATGGGCACCTCACTAGTGAATTATTGCTGACAGGCCTCTGCCCTTTGTGCTCTGTTGCTCTTAGCTTCAGTAATAACATGATCTCATGAGCCTTGTTTTCTTTCAGAATCAGGGCATTAGTAGCTATTAAGACACTATAGAGCTTAAGGTGTAATACATGATGGTTATGAAAGGCAAGAGGATAGCAGGTTCTGACCTAAGACATGGCTCCAGCAAACAATGAGGGATGTTATGTGTTGGACATTAATGCCTCCTTGGAAAGAGGGGGGATACTGGCTACTATCAGTTGAGGGAATGGTCCTGTATGTAGAGAATACTTTGAGTGGTTTAGGAAAGTAAAACAGCCTGAGCTTAAACAGCAAATTGGAACTGAACCTGCAAAGATTTTTTTTTTTTTTACCTGTCAACAGGGTGCTGATCAAGCTGATGAAACTGCCAGTGCACAGGATACACATACATGAGATAATTTTTCTCGAAGTCGTGCAGGAGCAGCTCAACTGCATGGTCACCAGCTGCAAGGCGCTTGTCATTCTGGTAGATTTTTTTGACCTGAATGCAACAGAGAAATTGACATTTTTTGTTTAGGGATGAAGTTCTGCCCTGAAGAGAACTATCCAGCAAGCAGGTGGTTTGGAGAAATGAGACTTGATAAAGTATCACCAGGGAAATGGGGTTTACTAGAAAGGAAGTGAAATTCCTGTGGCCTAATAGTCAAACTCAGCTAAGCAGGGCAGTAGCCTCAGGTGTTGCTAGGAAATGAAACCAATTTTATCACATTTGTTGATCTTCTGTCCTGAGGCAAGCAACTTGGCTTTTGGTGTGAAATAAGCCATATCGTAGCAACGTAACTGCATGGTCTTATTTGAAAAGGATTACTGGCCTTAGTCCTTTGCTTTTCAGTTAGAAATCCAGAAGTATCCAGATCATGTTCGTAATATTGCATAAGGATGTTTTTGAGCCAGTCTCGCATCCGGAGGGGGAACTGATCCACTTCATAATCAGTACAGTGGGGGATATCTGTGCCAAACAGGAAAGCTTTTGTTACCAAGTGATCTGTTAAGTCCCCATCTGAGCAATTGTGAGCAAACTTCCAGTTTTAAGCTTAAAACTAATAGAACTCTTGATGCATAAAATGGGGACTGCAACTAATTACAAATCTACAGTTCTGTGGTGCACATGCTTGAGCAGTTGTGCAAGCCACAACCTTTATGGATCTGTGCAGCTTCTGAGCAGAGTTGTGCAGTGGAACTGTTATCAGTCAGCTGCATGAAAGCAGAGCTCTTGACAGCAAAGGAATATTCTGGCTGAGAGTGCACTTTCCTCCCAGGGTGTGCAGCAACTGAAGAGCTTGGAAATCACTTCTGGCTTTTTAGATCCTGACTTCTGCATTTGGCATCTAAGTGGGTTGGGGGTAGGGGGGTTTGGACTTGACACTTTCATTTATTAACTGGTTGTAAATATTGGTTTTCTGGACAAGATATTAAGAAAACATCTTCAGATGCTATAGCAATGGGAGCAGGTAAGTCAGTGCAGGGGGAAGACAGGGTTGACAACAAATTGGTGTAAGCACAGGAGGGATGTCTTTAGGATTCAGGTGCTTAATACCTTAATTATAGAAAAAGTGACTTTTTAGACATGTTTAGGGTTTGAAGGTCTTAATTAGCAGATAATTGATGCAGAAGGGGAGAGCACAGGAAGAAAGCAGGTAACTTTGGTCTAGCTGGTGGTTAAGGCTACTGGCTCCTTCTACCTAGGAGAATTCCTCATAGAAAAACAAGCCTTACATTTGCATGAGCCGATATAGTCTAGGTGCAGCTGGTGTCCCATTTTTGTCCCTTCAAGTTGACATTTGGTGCCAAAGAGTTGACATGTGCCATCATAAGTCTTATTATCGGTACCACAAACCTAGAGGAGGAGTGAAAACAAAAACCTGGTTGCTGATATAGGCATTACAATAATAGAAGTATTGTTAACATATGGTGTAGCAGTTGTGAATACCCACAGGGAATACATGTGATCAGAAGTATTGACAATTGTAGTTATTTGCCTACATAAGCATTAGTTGTCTGTCTGTACTTACACACCCAGATTTGAGACACTTGAATTTCTTTTTGCATGGTAGTATGTAGTTTGAGATGGTACAGGATTATTACATTAGATATGTATATTCTGTATATGCTCTAAAATACCAAATGAATAAACAGAACTTTTAGTGACAGGGAAAAGCTATGACTCCTGAGAGACTAAGTGAAGCAAATCACTTTATGTACTATGTAGCTACATGTGTTCATACTATTTTCAAGCTATAGTCAGTGAGTTTGGGTACTTTATACTTTTACTATTACGGGAATTGCCCAAACCCACTTGCATGCTTTTTAGGGTAGAATTATTCTAAGTAATACCAGGGGAATATCTTATGAACATTTTAGTCAGCTTTGCCCCATGCTGTGCACTGAATGAAATACTTACATGCTCATAGTCCTTGGTGGAAGGGCAAGCAGCAGGATCTTGGCAAATACAGCCAGGTTTTCCTTGTTTGTCCGCATGGCAGACTTTACCTCTTTTGCAGTGGAAGTTCCTACATAGGTCTAGTGATCATAGCAAGAAGGAGGGACTGTTAGAGGGGATGGGACGAAGCCAAATGTTTTTGTCATGTACTACTGACAGTCAAAGCAAAATAAAGCCCAATATTCACCAAGAAGTCAAGTGCTTTTTATAAGTTTGTTAAAATGCAGCTGGATCTTGTATTGAATAAAGCAAGCCAAACTTCACAAAAATCCTCATTTAAGACTTCTAGCAGTCCCAGTTTTGAGTTGGATGGGGAAATAAATTTCTCAGAAAAAGCTATTTCTTCTATAAGGACTGACATTCACTTCCAGCTTCCTTTGGTGAAACATATCCCATCTGTCCTTGCTGAATCCAGCACTGGCACTTGTCCCACTCCTAGGTGAACTCAAGCTACTGTTCTGAAACGGAACTGTTTCAATGCAGGGTAATCCCCATGCCTGACACAAAAATTTGTGCGCTGTCTACAAAGGTTTTTCACAAACAAATTAGTAAATCCAAGGGATTCTCTGGGAATGTAACTGTGATGCAGGGTTATGCGCAAGCACAGTTCAGTCATGTGAAATCATGTACTGCCAAAGGCAGAAAAGAAATGCAGACCAGCAGATTCCCCAGCTGCAGAGTTAGCAGTTATACAATGGCTTTGCTTGTGGCTTACCCAGGAGAGCATTCTCACTTCTGTTGCTTGCACTTTCCATCACACTGTAGAAACTGCCTGTAGTCTTAACCTGTACAGTCACAGAGACATAAGCAGAAGCTGTGGTAAATCTTGGGAAGAAAAAAGTACTTGGACAAATTTTTTTCTGGTACAAATATAGAGCTGACTGAGGCAGAGTTTGCTGTTCTTGCAGCAGAAAGAGGTTGCTATGTAAAATGCATGAGAAATGCATAAAGCCTCTGGTAGTATTAAGGTGCTCTGTTATTTGGGGAGTAAAAAAAAAAAAAATAGGAGGTGGAAAGAGAAACAGGAGCTCAGTAAGTCTTGAGCACCTGGAGCTTATGCAGTACTTGGCATACAGCAGCGTAGTGCCTTCAGGTTGGCAGATTTGGTGCTTCGAGTCTTAGTTTGCACTGGGGCCCTCCAGGTCGGTGAGCATGAGCTGCCTCTCAGTAGTGCCTGGGAATAGCAGCACTGTGAGCTGCCAGGCCGGACACATGAAGCAGGAGGAGAAGGGAAGGACATGTCTTCAGTTCTGACCCTTCTTTGGTGCTGTGGGGATGTGCCTGCCTCCTTTCAAATGGATGCCTCCTATAATTTTTTTTTTAATGTTACAGATCCTTACTTAACAGCCATAGGAAAACTCACTCCTTTCTTTTGAAGAACACTCCTGATAGTCCACTGGTTATCTAATGGCTGACCCAGGGTATGGGAGATCTAGGTGTGATGCCCTCCTTTGCCTGAAGGGACAAAGCCCACATCATCTTCTGTGGAAGTGCCCTAGCCACTAGGATGGTAATGATTCCGGGGACTCTAGCCGTTCCAAACTGTTTGCGTTTGTATTATAGTGTTTAAAGTCTTTGGGAGAGAGGAGTGAACAGGATTTCCTAGTCAGCTTGAGACTGGGTTCTGGGTTTTGTATCTGTGTATCCATAGCCCATTGGGACTGGAGCTCTTACATGAGTGTGCTCACTCCCTTTCTGGTACAATTAATCTAAATGTTATATGTGAATTGACATAGCATGAACCAGATGAATAGTGAATAAAAGGGGAGATGAGACTTCTGCATATTAATAAACTATTACATCTGGTTTTTTCTCCAAAATGCTCTTTGAATCCTCAGGAATTTAAATTTGGGACTGGTTCCCCCCTGACACACACACACACACACACACACCCGCTTTTTCTAGTATTCTAAGTTTATTTTAAAGAGAATTTACCTTATCTTCGCTTTCCATTGAATTTATGCTCTGAACAGAGCTACTCGTTTCCAGTTGTTGCTCACTGTCAGAATTAGGTTGTTCATGACCATAATAATCTTGTTCGGAGTCAATAAGGTCTTTAATCTTGACATCCTGGTAATCCTCGGTCTCTCTATGAACTGCAGTGTCCTCTTTGGTGGTTCCTTCCCCATTGTGCTCGGTACCGGTGCTTTCCTGGTTGTTATGCTGGATTCTCTCCTCTTTCTCGTAAGCTGCTTCTTTCCAGGTATTGCTGAGATCTTCCTTGCCATCAACACCACCACTGTCATGATCATAATCATCAACATTACTGTCCTCCGTATCTTGTCTTTTTACCACTGTGTGATCACTCTGATAGGTTAGCTGAACATTGTTTTTCTTCTCTTTGCTTTGCCAGTTGTCATCCTGATCTTCACTGTGGGTTTTTTTTGAGAGAGGAATTTCTTTATAGGGCTGCTTCTGACTGTTCTCCCTCTCTTCTTCCTCCAGGTCAAATTTCTCACCCTGTCTCTTGGTTATCTGTATTGGCTGACTGGAATCTCTCAGGATTTCATCAGATTGCATGCTGTTTTCATTTTGCTGTCTTTTGTGTTGATTACCTTGATTGGTCTGGTGGCTTTTCTGCTTTGTATCTCTGTAATCAGTTCCTTCACCCCATTCATCATCCTTTTCTTCCACACCTTCTTCTTCATCACTTTCACTGCTTTTTTCAGATATGCCAATGGTATTTTTATTATATTTCTGTGTGTTATGCTCATGATCAAGACTGAGGGCATCTGCTGAATTTTCTGCATTGCCCAGAACATGTTGATTGGCCATATTGCTGTGTTTCTCATGACTCCTGAACTGAGAATGCTCAGAGCTGGACTGGTCTCTGCTGCTGCTTCCAGAGTCACTGTCCTCGTTATCAGAAGCCAAACCTGGTTTATTGTGCAGTGCAAGGAATTTGATGCTTTTTAAGCTATTTTTCACTTGATGCTCGCTACCAGTTCTCTCTTGTTTTCTAGTGGGCTGGGGCTCATCCCTGTGCTCAGCATCTGGTACTGATACCTGTGGGTTTAGGTTTTTGTGACTGGGCAGCAAATCACCCTTGTCTACATATGGGGCATTCTTTTCCTTTGGGGTATCAGGATTAATACCTTTGGTCTTAAAAAAAAAAAAAAAAGCAAGTAGATTAATAAATCTCAGAATGTATTTGAAGTCAATGCAATGTTATTTTTGCTTGACACTGACTTTGTTTGCTTTGTAAATGCTCCTCTTAAGCTAGCCCAGAGCATGGAATTCACAGCTGGTGCATTTCCATTTCTCAGCAAATTTATCTGTCCCCTCTTTTATTGCTGGAGTTTCTGAAGCAGTCTATGCAACTCTGTTTAATATCTCATAGGGGATAGATGCATATGGGTATCTTGTGAAATCTCAAAATGCTTGATTAGTAGTTTAGGCTCATAACTTCAGGCATTTGTGGGCTGCAGTAATTATCATTTACCTCAGAGAAGGGGGTGCGATACTCATCTTCCTACACAGATAAATGGGAGGCCGGGGAAAAGAGGGACAGCGGAGAGAAAGCACCTTTCACAAGGTGTTGTGGTAGTAATTCCTGAGGAGTGCACTGCATCTTAACTATTCCATAATCAATGTATTTGTCTACCTTGTCTACTACTTCATTGCTTCCTAGTTGAATTAATCAGGAACTATTGGTTTTGGTGGCAGCTGTGGTACCATATCAGGAATCGTGGTGTTTGCTGAGTGGCTTATGTTGTTTGTGTGCTGTCAAACCAATAGCAAAACTCGTAAATTCAGTGGAAAAGGTTCAAATGCTCAAGGAGAAAGCAGGTAGTAAAATGACTGTTAAAATGATGCTTGCTGCAGCAGTTGCCTTGCTGCTGCTCTTAGCATCACAGCAGCTGCTGGGTGAGTACAGCCGCTTCCAAATAGCAGCAGCATCTGATATATTTCTGAACACCACCCATGGATGTTCAGTGTTGCTTATAGCACCTGATGCTGATTTTCCTTAAAGCTTTGGGGGGGGGGTTATTTATGAAAATGAGACCTTCTCAGCGCCCAAGTTGCTGGAATAGCATTTCCTTTAGTGTGGGCAGAGTCATGACTGCTCGGAAACACTCAACTAACAAATACTTATACAAATTAAAAACAATGGTAGGATTAGAAATATTAATTTGGCTCTTGGCACATCAGCTATATCCTATTTCCCAGTGTCAAGTTATCCAAATGCTTTACAAGTTTGTCTTTTGCCTAGTATACTAGCTGATGCAGGAAAAGTACTAGGCAACGTCTTCACGATGTCATTTCCAGCTCAAACTTTTTCATGTCTTGACAAGAAGCCTCTTTACATGCCACAACCTCAGTGCCTGCATGTGGCTTTCAGCTGCTGCATTTTCTTATACCTTTGTCCCTGAGATAAAATAAACTTTTAGAACTTGGTTGCTTGTGAAGATACTTGGGTCTCTTAATATGATGGCAAATTTCAGTCAACATAGCTGTAATTAGCTACTGTTAGGGGGCAATGGGCCTTTGATAGATGTTGCGTATTCACTTGGAAATGATGATTCGTTGGGTATTGCAATGCTTTGTTTTGGGGAGTTGTTTTGGGGAGACAGATGTAGGCTGCAAAACTAGTGTTTATACTGTAATTTATTCTGCTGGATACTTCATTAGGAAAGGTTAATTTTTTGGTTTTCATAATGCAGAGCACCATCCGGATTGACATGAAATGCATCTAGAAAGCTGCACAGAGTGGGATATAATTCATAATGAAAAAAAAAAGGCTAGCATAAGAGTTGGGATTTTGCATTTCTTACTGCAGAGCATGCTCTGAATTTAGTTGTTCCAAAACATTCATTGGCTTGGAGCCAAGGTCCATTGTGTCTGAATCACAAAAGCTTACTGGAATGGAGCAATTAAAAGGAATTTTAATTTGGGTCAACCACAAATGCAAAATTGTGAGCTCAGGCATTAGCACACGTATATGGCATAGGGCTGTTGAAGTCATCTGTCTCATTGCCACCAGGGCTGTGTATCTGGCTTGTCAGCCACAGTGTACTTTTCCAAGATGAGCTGTATCTAATGCTCTGTATTGTGAATAATGAAACATATGGTGGCTAAAATTCTTACGTGTTTGAGACTGCATATGATCACTTGGTGTGATAAATTGAGGATTGCATCCTCCTTGTTTACTGGAGCAGTGATAACCACAAGTTCAACTGTCAGTGGAGCTTATTGTTTGTACGAATATGGGTGTAATGATCATATGTGGGGATTAATTTAAGGTAATTTTTTCAAAGTAGTGAAACTTCTGTTGTGAGTTTTAGATTTTGTCCTGTTCTGTTTCTAGTGATGTCATATGTGAGGCATGAGATGCTTGGTACTAATTCTTGGGGTGATGGGGCCTATATTTTTTTAACCTAAATCAATTTGCCAACCACTGCATATGTACTAATATGTTTTATCTATTTGAGATGAATAATATAGGTCTTAATGTTTAAAGAACAAGAAGAGTACCTTTTCTGGAGTTTTCTGTCCATGGGTTCCAAGTTTGTAGTTTAAGGAATGGGTCTAGAACAGACAAATATATTCAATATCTGCATGTAAATAAAAATCTTGTATAGGTCAATGGGATAACATAGAGTATTCACAGAATTGGAAATTAAGTGCCCAGTAATAATAGCATGATGAAGACTTACTGGAATAGCAAAAGCTGATCCTATCAGACAAATGAAGAGAGCTACAGCCTTCATGCTTTTCAGATCCCGTAGAGGACAATAATTAATGGTACAGTGGTAGGGTTTAGAGGTTTCCTTTCTGCAAACAACATGAAAAGAAATAAAGTTAGGATTTGAATATAATGGTCTAGAAATGACTGATGAGCTGTAGCTGCTGTAACTTGCTTGGTCTGAAAACCCACAAGATTTCCACACAGTGTTCAGTTGTATGTAAACTCAGGTGTTAGACCAACTAATCTAGAGGACACTTTGGTCTTAGTTCTTTTACAGTACTTAAGATGTATGCTGTGTTCATAAACTCTAGCGGTGTTACTAAAAGGCAAAGTTATGAATGTACATAGGTTCAGCCCTGTAAATCTTTATCCACTCTTCTGAGATACTACTTTGTGAAAAATGTCTGTTTTCATTTAGTTCTGAGACAATGCCTGTTTGTGGCATCTCTATGGCCGAGGTGTCTCCTGGCTGCTCTCCTTTGTGGCTGTAGTAGGAAGAATTAAGTGGTGAAGTTCAGCACAACAGGTCTCAGAGCCCAGAAATGCTGTCTGGGCTCCTTGATGGACAGGTACAGTCCTGCTTTGCAAGCAACAAACCCAACTCTGCTGCTCAGTAATGTGTGAGAAGGATGGCTGGAAGAACATGCAATGCATTAGGAATTTCCTCAGTCTATATTGATATCCTCATGTGAGTGAAAGAAAGGCAACTCATTTTTACCTTGGATGTCACCAGCAAACTTTCTCACTTTTGCAGTGCACACGAACTGGAAGTTTCTATGGCTGTACTGTATCACTGCGAGAAGCAAAAAGAAACAAGTTGTATTGCACCTGCTTCCCCCTTTTTTTGTACTGTATTGCTTTCTTATTATTTTTAATTTCTTCATGTTCTTTTTTCTGTATTTTTACAGCATCAGTAGGATTTTCACTCTGCTTCTGTTTCTGCTCTTGTTCTACCGGCTGTTCTTCCTTGGAAATTGTCTTCTCTGTATTCACGCCCCCTCCACCCCTTAAAAATATTTTCACTTTCCACCTAACATATGTTCTTTTTCATTGCTTCCCCCTTTCCTAATGAAATCCGTATCACAGTGTCCTTAGTTGAAGAACATTGTCTTCTGCTGGTTGAACTCCCTGGCATATGAAGAAACTGGCAGTGGTTTCAGCCAGTTAGGTCAACCTTATTCAATTACATGAGGCTCAAAGTATGGTTTTAAATTGTTGTTCAGCCAGATGGGTTTTCTTGAGGAGGGGGAGGAACCCAAAACCCCAAAGGAAGAATTCCAGGGGAGCTTGTGTTTATGGGAACCAGAATGGTGAAGCAAGAAGCAAGGACTTTGAGCATTACATAGATGATTTTTTTTTTTTTTTTTTTTTTTTTTTGGTGTAGAAGCTTGCAAAAGCATTCTGGCTACTGCTGTGCTTGGATCTGAAGTGTACACTTTGGCAGATTCCTGTGTTATATGTTATTTAATGTCAATATCTTTTAGTTAATGAAGAGCAAAATACTTCATTAGTGAGGCATATCTAATATGCAAATCACTTTTCGTGCAGTTAACTGATTTAGTCCCCAAATTATCTCTTATCTAATTATCTATTATCTCTTTGGCATCCAGAGTTAGTGTTTAAGATGTTTTCAGAGGGAAAGACAGACTACAACAAAAGCCATTAAGAAGCATATGCAAAATGCCTCACTGGACTGTGGATGGGCAGTCACTTCAGATCAAAGCACGTTTTGTTAGATGGAGGGTCATGCAGGCGACTTGCCAGAAATGCAGGAGCGTAATCCAATTTCATGTATAGCCCTAGGAACTGTATACAGTGCTTTTGAAGGCCTGGCAAGTGACTGAGGAAAGAAGTATTTGAATTAGTCAGGTAGCCTTGATTTCTGTTTCTCTCTGCTCCTGGTGAGCAGCACAGCTCTGGGCATGTCACTTAACGGAGTTTCTTTTTCTAAAAATCTCATTTGTCATATTTGTTTTGGTAAACTAGTTTGAGAGCTACAAATCAAAAGCTCTGCATGTTGGATTTTATTTATAATTACAATTTTCGAATTTGGTTCTGTCACTGGCTGTAAAAGTCGCCTCTGCCACCTATGTCCAAATAATGAAAAAGTGGTTGGAGTAAATCTAAGTTAAGGTAGCAGGACAGGGCCTTTGTATTTTTCTCTTAGTAACTAGCCCACAGTAGCCTGTAGGAAGCATATGTCTTTAATTATTGGGAAAGTCTGACCACCTTTAATGGAGTATAGGCACATAGTCTAGTTGAGTATATTTTTTTCTAGTCATGATAGTCCAAATGAGTTGCAAGGATTTATATTTCTGCCAGTAGGATAATCTGCTCCAAACATTAAGTAGCATTTCAAACCCCACTCTTAAACTGTAATGCACATGCAAGTATTGCCAGTGTTAATTCCTGGGTTTTGCCTTCCTGAATGTGGCAGCGATACCAATTCCTGTGCAGTAAGTGTCTCCTTCCACTCTTTTCAGAGCAAGAAGTTTTGTGGTTTAGATGGTGCCTCATAGTGGACCTGATCTAAGTTAAGCATGTAATTCTGTGTCTCCTCGCTGTAACAACCAATCCCATTGTGCAGCCAGTAGAGGGGGCTGTTTGCAACTGGTGGCCCGAAACTGCCAGACAAGCTCAATAGCCATAGTCACAAAGATTTATTTATTTTTTTCGGTGCTGATGACACTCATGAAGGGAGAGCAGTAGGGGAAGTTGGGATGACTTATAAAAGCTGCAAAGTCCATCACAACAGCCATTTCAACAGGGAGGAGAAAAAGTTATCTTTGTACAACGGACTGTAGACCCTCTTTCCTCCAGGGGTGAAAGGACTTTTCTGTTGGTGTCACTTCAGGTTTGCCTAGGCTCTGGGGGCTTGATTGTGCAATATGCCAAGACCTTTTGCCAGAATCCAGGAGAACCTTTTTGCTTGCTACATGTAATCCATGTGAAGGGTTTTAGGTGGTTTGCTGGAGCAGGAGCCAAGGGATTTGCAGCTTGAAGGATAAAGCTCTTTGTGAGGGGAAAAAACACAAGGAATTCTTCCTGCAAGCCTATGGCACTTTTTGCTGCAAAGGTTGTGGCTCATGGTGATGGGATTTTTGTACTTGCTTGTTTAGTCTTTCAGTGTTAGAAAGGAAAAGTCATTTTTGCTGAAGTAATAAATAGCCAGCCTGAGTAGGTGCAGAGATGAGAAAGCTCTTTCGGGTCGTATGTAGTATAGGGTAATTAAGATGATGGTGATGGAAGAAATTAAGCACTAGCTAATTGTCATATGATGCAAGGATCTGCACTGTGACATTCACTTCTTTTACACGGAATTCTAAATGTGAAGATGCTTTGTTCTTGCTTTAATTGCCAAATTTGTCCTACAGAACAGAATTTTTAAAAACAAGCTTTTATAACAGACAGTAATAGAACTGTCAGTAAAGAACCATTATACAAGAAGCTATTTTAGAAGCAAGCAGACATCCCTCTGGAGAAATGTAGTCACTAAACCTTGCAGGAAAATCTGTAGGAAAACTCTGCTGAAAGGTGAATATGAAATTTCTTGAATATGATTTTTTTTTGACCAAGAAATGAGGTATTTAACAATATTTCAGCTTGGGGTATTGAGAAAGCAATGATAACTAGGCCCTCCACCCCTTTTTCAGGCTTGGAAAGAAGAATAGGTTTTGCCTGAAACTTGGAGGAGGCAAAAGCTCTGAGTACTTTATTCCATTGCGGTGGGTTCCCAGCATACATGTAGCTCAGCTTAAAATGAAAAAAAAAATGCTTTTCTTGACGTAGATGTGATAGTTGCTCTCAGTAAACAACCCCTGAATGTCCCTTTTTCAGGGGACAGCGTGCAGCTGCTGAGCTGAGATGGAGCTAAGGGTGCCTTGGTGAACTCAGTCTCGGTGTACAGATGCAGTGGGCCATGTTAGACAGCTCCAAGGTAGGATTCTGCAGCTACTGTACAGTGAAGTACGTCCAGCTCATGAGATCCGCTGCCAGGACTGGAGCAGAGCTGCTTTATGAAGAGGAGTTGCCTCTCTGAGTATGGGCTGCATGCAACAGCCCTGCACTGTCATCTCGTATGCATCTGGGGGCCTGCCAGGCAGGGTGAACATCAGTCCCAGCCTGTGATCAGACTAACAGAAGTGTATGATGTGGTAACTGAAGCCTCTTGATACATCAGTAGATTTTAAAACATTGCATGCTTATCCATCTACTTGGTTTGCTGAATTTGCAAACAGTAACGCTTTCCCCTCCAGCAAGGGGAGCTGGAAAAATGGATCACAAGTTAAATGCCAGTTTATTCTTAAGATAAGTGCATAAAAAAGGTGCCATTTAAAGGTTCATCATTGTGTGTCTTCTGTTTGGGAACTCAACAGTTCAAGTTTCAGCTGAGATGACTGCTTGTGTCCTTCAGCCTTCAGTTGTAGAGACCACTGCTTAGAGGTTATTTCACTCCTCATGTTTCTGCCGTAGCTGGCATCTTTGCTGAAACTCAGGCACTGCACACCTGGGGATCAGAGAGACTACTTGTGAGTTTATCCCTGATGGGGATACTGCTGATCAGTGACATGACTTCAAGCCCTCCAGACATAAGGACATCTGGCATGCCTGCTGGTCTTGCCTGTCCTTCTCAGCCATGCTGTACCCCGTGCATTTTGTATGCTCAGTCAGACAGGAATTTCACCGGGGTTCACTGTTTCTCATTACTTGTAGCAGAAAGTCTGCATCTTCAATTGAAAATTAGAGAGAATTTCAGGAATAGATGAGATGCAAAGCGCAGTCTTTGCTGCTGTCTCTGTATCTTATTTCGGATTCAGCACTGTTGTCAGCCACTCAAATGGCAAACCTCATGCAGCTGGGACCTAGCAGCTTCTCTTGGTTTTTGAAATGCCACCCAGAAGTGATTAACTTGTAAAGGCTGTGGCTGAACGTGGCAAATGCCTCGTTTAACAAAAGAAATCATGCGGACTGACCTACTTTCAGCTCTAGCATTGGCAGAAAACTCTGCATAGGCTTTCTTCC